CTATGACACGACCCTGTCTCCCCCAAATTGGATCAGCGACGGAGGATGCGTTCCCTGGGGAAGAATCGGATACGGCCCCTGATATGTAGTATGGGTCCGTTGTCGTAGCTGTAGAAGTTCATTGAAAATTAGCTCCCGCAGAATTGTTCGAGTTGTAAGTAAGACATATTTTCTTTCCGGCGTGAATTTCCAGTGCCATATCAACAATTTTGCAAGAAAATGCTGCCATATTGCAGCACGACTATTATTTTTGTCAGCGTAAGCCTGCAAATTTATCAGAATAGGGATGTCAAGTCCAAATCACTTTAATATGCACGAGGTATGCACGAAGTTTAAGTCCAGTAAATTTGAGAAAGAAATACCCGTTGTGGGGAAAATTATTTCGATGTCACCTGCTCTCGTCTTATAAGAAGTAGCATCTTCATCATGGTCATATTGGCACTTTTGCTGCCTTCCAGGCTAAAATTTTATAATTTGAACCAGGACTGCCCTAGAAAGCTCTTGCTATAGCAAGAAAAACAGCGGCGCATCGTTATGCGAACGCAGTAGCCCTTTGCTGAGTCACTGGCAGGCCATTAAAGATTTTATGGTATGTGCGTCGGCAGAAATCATTTTAAAACATTACGGATGACTACAGCAGCGGTGTCGCATACGATAGGATCTTCACTATGTACAAAATTGAATTGTCTTGCCCATTAATGCAACTCATCAGTTATAAGAAATAAATTTTAAGGCTGCAAGGCTGTTCAATCTTATAACCTACGTCAGTTGTCAAACTTGACTAATGCCTAAGAAAAGGCATGTTTTCGTCATGACGCCATTGGTTTCTAGAACCATATTTCTATCATGGACTTCGCTGTTAATTCGCGGTTACATCGGCATTCAATTCATGAAAAGCTTCTTGTGTAAATTGTTTGATGAAATTGAGCGAATGAGGAGAGCGTATTAGTGTAGAATCTACTGTACTGCAATGGAGACTGGACCGTTTACGTCTAACCCATTAATTGAGTTTCCTGTTGAAGTTTCAGCCATCCACTTCCTAAGGAGATGGAGGCAGGGAAGTCCAGTTTTAGATACTTCTCTCGGACAATCCCTGTCCTTGGCTTTTCGACGTGAAAGACGTGATTGTGAATGATGTTTTTATAGTCATTATCATTACTCGCTGGTCGTTGGCTTCTAGTTAATGGCACTCATTCTACGCTATTCTATCAGAACTCCATGTGAATAGCTTCAGATAGACTCAGATAGCGAATACTTTGGAACTGGCGATCATCAAAAACTCTGTTAACTACAACAACGTAGAGCAGTTAACGGGTTTTTGTTGCGCAGGATTGTTCTCCGTTGTTTTAGACAACGGCACGAACCACTTTTATCTGACTCATTATGAATAAACTCCTTCCGTATTCGCGATAGTGTCTAAGCATGTTCCAGATTGATTGTTCTTATTGTGTAGTCTCCCTCTTTAAAAGAAGCATAATTGCAGCATTTTCCCTATCATCCTAGTGGTAAAGAAGCTTAGGTAATGGTTCAAGATCAAATGTTTCTATTATGACCATTCGCAAAACTTATAAACAGGTCAGAAGTTGTATTTGAAGATTCAACAGAATTGTTTTTAGGAGTTCCAGCAGATCGTGTGATCCTTTACGGACAGTCTATAGGCACAGTACCTAGCGTGGATTTGGCGAGTCGTGAAGAAGTAGCCGCCCTTATCTACATTCACCATTAATGAGTGGGATGCGTGTGGCTTTCCCAGGAACTCAGCGCACGTGGTAAGTGTTCCATTGATGCTGGCTTTCTATGGAAATGCATGAAGTGCAGTGTTTAGGTGCTGTGATGCGTTTCCTTCAATTGAGAAAGTGCCTCGTGTGAAATGCCCAACACTTGTCATCCACGGAACGGATGATGAGGTACGCATCGCTCAACCTTTTTCTGATGGATTATACCCGAAAGATTTTTAGGTTATTGATTTCTCTCATGGAGTCTCAATCTACGAGCGTTGCCCGGCTTCCGTTGAGCCGCTATGGGTTTCAGGTACGACAATTGTTTGGTGATGATATAGATGAAAGAATGTTAAAACCAGGCAACATTGCCGAATCTGTTCCTATGACTATGTATGTTTTTAATTGATTGACCCTGTCCCACTTTGGAATAGTTGGCATAGAATCGCATTCATCACTGTCGATGGAACGTTTGTTCATGGTCAGAATAGTATTGGTATTTGAATGGGTTTGGCCTAAATATGAACGACATGCAGTTCAATCTCCCCGCCGCCCCCCGTTTGAAGTCAGTATTTTGTTCTTTTTAGAGAAGTCCAGTACCAATTAACAGACCCCGTTGGTAGGGTATGTCTAGTGTGGTGAGATTCCATTAGAGCAGAAGACAGCAATAGCAATAAGCGTCGCTATGGGTTTGACGTTGCGGGCGCCGCACTGGATAGAAGTTGTGCGGATAAGCTGCTTCCAGCATGCTTTGTGGAATGCCACAAAATATGTTAGAAACAGCTATCCACATTACAGCTCCTATCAGTTACGACCCCGAGGTCACGGTCAGACCAAAGACACGCCCTATCCAACTCTGAGAAAAAGAACTGTATGTAGTCAGGAAGCATTGATAAAAATTTTTATGACGATGTGTTCAGGTGCTGGTCACAATGATGTGGAGCTACACGCCGCGTACCTGGAACGCCTTCGAAATTTTATCGACAGTGAGGCGAGACGCTCTAAAGACGACATTGGCGTTCGCGTATAGCGTTTCTCGGTATTCAACGAATTTTCCGCTTTATGAACTCTTTCAGGCATTAATTACCACATCCAGTCTGTGATATGCTGGTAGTATTATTTTTGTTCCCCATGATCATATCTTTTGTGCCTGCTATGCAAATGCTATGGCAGACTATCCAACACGTGGTTTTTTCATCAGCACCCACATTTGAGCCTTGGATCTATGTTGTTTCATCATCAATGATCTGATCTTTCGATAATTTAAGAAGTTTTTTTACGGTTCACGATATGGTGGTTTGAAAATGAGAAAGTGAATTCTGATGGTTTGTATTATATTTTGCACAACTTTCATTCCGTTTCTCTTGTCAAGCCCATACGCATCCTTTATTTCCCTTTCCTTTATGAATGGTTCACTATATTCGCTCATTTGCTCCTATCCATACTTTGTCGCCCGAAGAAAAATGCAGGTTTCAAATCTATGCAATTCATGTAAACTTTTTTGAATCTTTTTTTTTGGCGTCGTTGTTCATAATACGTTTTCTGTGGACATGGTACGACTTGGCAACGAAATTTATGAATACAAGTTTGACATGTTAGCCTCATATTGTAGGTTGTCGACCGCCAGTCAGGATATTAATTTAAAACGAAACTTGTCAAATAACCCTCAACCTTTATAATAAACTTCACTTTTGTGTTGTTCATTCTTTACCACGAGGAGTGAAAGTGAAACGAATTGTATTTTATCGATTCCAGATTTTCGAATCGCACATGCTCGTAAAAGTGAATTTTTGAGCTGCATGTCCATCTTCTCATTCGGACATACACATTACACATTGTCACGCCGCGGTCACTTTATAGTCGCTAGATCGCAAAAGCCGCCACGCGTATGGCGTACGCCGCGTATCGCATTGTCGATTCATCTTCATATTTTGCAATGTTTCCCACGCATGACGAAAGTTGAAGGACGTTTCAGCATGCACACCACTCGATGCATAACATAACAGAAGTTGATACGGCGCAAAAAACCAGTGAGCTGATAAATGGGAACTGATAGATGAGGAAAGAATGATGACAAGGGCCCTAATGACAATCGCAACGCATTCCGCAAGAAAACGTTTGCGGCCGTCACTGTTGTTGATTTCACAATGGCGGAATCGCATGGTCGACAGATATTTGGTCTGCGGACAAGCTGCAACTCAGTCGTAACGTGTGACTGGGGCCTCGGGCATCTCTTTCTGACGTATGTTTTTCACTTTTAGCCAAGGACAAGTCACCATATCCTCTCGTAGACGCTCTAACTCAGACATCTTACGAAGCGATAAGAGACGGTAGAAAAGCTCGTGACTCGTACGGTGGCAAATAAGGCGGCTTCGTAAGGGTGCATAAGGGCGACTGACTCCCTCTTCGATCTCTCGTAGAGTAGATACGTATCAAATATGCGATCGCTAGCGTATGCGACACCTGTCTTTACTCCATTGCTCGGAGCTGCACGACGCTCCAGGCAAAGTATGCCCGTACTGTGAGAGAGCGAAATCTATTATTCGCTCACAAGGCTGGGCAATATGTACTATGGCACGTATGGAATCCACCACTTCGTTTCAATATCTGGCCTCATGTCGTTGGGGAATGCGGGCGGGAGGGGGAGAGAACCGAGAAACCGTGACGTTCGCGCACATTTTCAAAAACTTTCCGCGAACGCCCCTCCTTTACGGGGTCACGAAATCTTTGAACCACCCCCACCACCACCATAAAGCACATTACGTTCCCCCTATGCGATCCACTTCCCCCTTCTCCGACCACCACCCTCACTAAAGTGTTTCTAAAGTATTTGATTGTGAGACCAGTCGACACGTCCAACTCCGGCCACTTCTCCTCCAAAAGGCGTCAAGCGGGGGAGGGGTAATAAGTCAAATGAACACCGAATATTCTCTACATATTCTCGACTTTCTCGACCACTCTCTACTACCCTACTCCCAATTACATTTACAAAACTCCTCAAAAAACCATTCACCCCAACAAACTATAATACAAATCCCGACTCAACCCCGATGTGCCTCCCACACCAACACCAACCACAAATGCGACCCCTTCGCTCGAATAGTGCAAACGCACGGTTGACTCCTGGAGGGAACATCCAAGTGAGTCAGCCAATTACTGTTTTTCGAACTAAGCCCTGGAGAAGGGAAGGGATCCTGGGGAGCACGCGAGCAATTTGCGTTTTCTCCCTGGCGTTTCTTCCCTGTGCTGGTCTCACCTACCAGGCCGTGTTTTGAATGTCCCCCCAACGACATGAGCGCCCAATATCTCATTATGGAGATCAGCAAAGCATGCTGGAAACAGCTTATATCCGCGAATTCTGTCAAGTGCTGCGGCCACCACGTCAAATCCAAGAAACCCTAAGTTAGATGACAGGATTCGTATAACTATACTCACGGTAACGGACGACGTGTGCCACATAGTGACAACATGAAATATTTTCTTCCGTTTTGTAATTAGTTCGTGAAATCTGAATATTACGCCGTATATACACAGTAAGAGGAGAGATATATGGTTGTTGGTTCCACTTATTTGAAGGATGTCACCTGCACCTTCCCCTCATCCCTAGATTTGGAGCGGAAAGACGAGTTACGGAGTTGGCGTCAATGGAAATCTCTTCTTTTGATAAGGAAACATGCTTCGGCCCGTCTTTGCCCCGTTATTCGCACAAGCCTACACAATTCCTACCCTGTGTGGCGGCGTGCCCCACATGGTGACGCACCGGCGAAAAACCCTGTCGTCTGATAACCGTCTCCTTCTTCGCAAATCTTTTTTTTTTTCATTTTTTTTTTGAAAGATACGTGAACTTATGAAGGCTTCACTTCAAAACTGCTTTGAATCCTTAATTTTGGATGCCAAAACAATTATTTGCATTTGAAATTGATGTCCATTATATCGAAATTTCCAATGAAACTAGTGAAAATCATGACTCTTATGGGGCAGAACTCCGTCACATCTATAAAAATTCACATCTTTATAGGGGCAGAACTCCGTCACATCTTATAAAAATTCATAGATTTGTTGATTTGATTAACTCAGTGAGACAGTATGCAAGAATCTGATTCTACTATTTATTTTTGAAATGGGATTACGGAAGGGGGAGAGGAGGAGGCTCGCAAGAAGATTATGAACACTGAACCGAAAACAAGCAAACAAGTAACAAAAACCAGTCAACAACATTGGTGAAGACCAGTAAAAACGATAACAACGGTCGTATGGAACCTACAACCCACTCTCTGCAATAAATAATTTATGAAAATAATCAACGTAAACTTAAAGTATGCTCTACTTCTCCTACACAACTCCGCGTTTGAACCTCTCATACGCTTCCAGCATGTGACGTTCCGTTCGTGGCACAATTGAGAGCAAAGTCTCCTCAAAATGTTTTGCCACCGCACCTCCCCCCGGCGCCGGGCCGCCCGCCCGCGCGCGCCGGCGCCCGGGCCCCCGCCCCGCCGCGCGCGCCGCGCGCGGCCCCGCCGGCGCCCGCGGCGCCCGGCGGCGCCCCGGCGCGGCCCCCGCGCGCCCGCGGGCGCGGGCCACCGCACCTCCGTTGCGTTTATGTTCTCTCTCATTGCAAGAAGTGCAGCTTGACGACAAACGGCAACCAGCTCAGCTCCCGAGTACCCTGAACTTTTCATCTATGAGTACTTATGTGAGGCGAAATATAAAGCATTATAACAGCTAGCTGCGATAGTTACGATTACAATGTGAAATCTCCTCACAAAGAAATGCTACCAGTAAGACCACCCCATTGCATACCTTCATATCAGAGTTCATCCCGACTAAAATCAAATATGACTAAAACAAACCTTCGGTTTTATTGACCAGTTTTTCGATGATGTCATCTTCAGCTAAGGTCATGCGTTTTGTTCTCATTTCGATGATTGCACGCCTTGTTTTAGAACATGGAAGTCCAACATATATTGCACGGTCAAGACGGCCTGAATTTAGCAAGACTAAATGATCATCTCCAAAACTGATAACTACTATTGTCAGCTGAACATGCGGTGTGTTCCGTAATATACAGGGTGGCCGAAAAGTATAGGACGCCATGTTTTTGTGTGTAAAGCCAAGAAAGAGACTCGATCAGGAAACCGACTTCACACAAAGATAGAGTTAAGCTATTTGATCACTTGTGCAGAAGGTGCTTTGAATTTGACGACTCTGCTTTGAGAGAGGCCTTCTGACGTCCAACGACAAAATCAGCAGTGCGCCGCAGGTAGCCAACGGCGATGTCGTCCCACCTCTTCTGAAGCGCTAACTTCAGAGCACCCACCGAGCTGGAGAAGTCTTATGAGGTTCTTGCTCTACAACATCCTCACACAGAGCTGTCCATCGGGTTGAGGTCCTGAGAGGAAAAAGGCCACAACTCCTTGCTCTAGTGGCCCGGGAAGTGAGCGCCCAGGATGGCCTTGGTCGATTGACCGCGTGTTAAGGAGCCCAGCTTTATTGAAGAGTGAACGATAATTGAGCAAGATGCTCATGAATCCAGAGCAACATACCGTACCTCATTAAGGTCTTTTGCAAGACCTTCGAGTTAATTTCAACATTTGTGGAAGATGAACTCCAATGGAGCTGCACTTTTGGATGTTACCCCGTCACAAACTACCACACCTTCGGGAGAAAGTCTGTTGTAAACTAGACGTTATCTCGGAGACTTGCTCTCACTTTCTGGCAACAACTGCCTCTGACTTTGGTGTCGCAAAGAAGTTTAAATCGAAAATTTTCTCATAAGCCCAACCCTTAGGAGAGATGCGGCGCACCTCGACCTCGTGCAGAAACTTTTTGCATTTTATCAGTTGAATCTATTCGGGTTGCTCCAATAAAACCAGCATAGAAAAAGTCGGTAACCCCTTCAAAAATGACTGCTTCCCAAGATTTTCTGGAAGGAGTGACGGCAGATCCTGAGATCAAAAGCGATGTGACTCACGCTGGCTTCATCGTTGTGAGTCATCCTCTTTTAGGTGATTGCTCCAATCCTCTGAATGTGCACAGTTTTTGATCTTCCACTTTTCGCAATCCCAGAGACGTGTTGTTGAACCTTGAGAGCACCGAACATGTTCCAAAGAGTTGAAGAGGAAATAATGAGTCGCTTTCCGAAGTTGCAATTTCAGAGACCGTCATTGGGCAGCCCCTTGGTAATGGGTCGATGCAAAAAAATCTTCATGGCGAGAGTTCAGATGAACTTTGGACCAAACAACTTATGGTGCTTCTTACATAGTTTCGAAGCTTTCGAATAGTTTTGAAACACTCTGAAAATACTCCACGGCTCAGTGCCAGCAAGCGGTCAAAGCCGCGTCCTATACTTTTCGGCCACCCTGTACTTACTGGACATGTAGAGCGTCCCAATTGAGAGGGCATTTCAAACAGAAACACTATCAAAGTTTACGAATAAAACAGCGGATCAGTTGCAAGTTCTCCAGATAGGTTGCCTACGGGATATTTGAAGATCCTGCGTCTATTCCTTTGTTAAATACGGCTTGTAGACACTTGAAGAATTCAGCAGCACGCATTCTCTTGGCTGACCTTGGTGTAGGCTTTGCGCCAGAACTTTTCCAGGGAATTCCGTCAGGGTGGATTTGGAAGAAGCACGTCGGATAAACTCTCTCACGAAAACTTCTTATAGGCCGACGTCATACTTTGCGAATCGAGCGAATCGCTAGCGAATCGCTCGAGTCGAGCGAATCGCTAGCGAATCGCTCGAATCGCTAGCGAATCGAGCGAATCGCTAGCGAATCGCTCGAGTCGAGCGAATCGCTAGCGAATCGAACGATGCACCAGCGATTCGAACTGGGTACCAGCGAATCGAACTAGGTACCAGCGAATCTTGCATAAAGCTTGAAACTAGGGTGTTAGGCTAGGTTTTGAGTGAGTGTGTGGTTGCCGCCGGACAAAGAGCCTTTGGTGAGGCCACACAACCTCCGAATTTCGCGTTTTACTCCCCTATTTCGTCCACTATAGGTACTCGTTGACTGGTTTATACAAGGAGTAATTAAATTATTCGATCATGTCAGTCAATATCTAACACCGTTGGGCTTCATTCAAATTCAAATGGACTACAGTGCCGCGGCAGTAATCTTTGTACATCGGCGTCTTTGATTGATCTTAATTGATAGAGGATACAGGAAAGCTCACTGATAAGGACTTTTTCATATGATGAGGGGCATCTCGGAAATGTTTGCCTTCAAGTATCTGCGCCAAAAAATAGAAACTTGACGGCCAAGTTCAGGTTCCTATCATGTAGTTCAGAAACTCCACTGCGTATCATGAGCAAACCGTCCTTTCCTAGCGAAAAATGCCCAAATTAGCCTACCGTCTTTTTTTTTCGCTCGAGTGCCAAACTCGTTCAACGCTTAAAACTTACAATGTTCTCTCTGTGTTTGCATTAATGAGACCTTCCATGAACATTCTCAGTTTTCCTTCTGACATCCCCTCTGAATGGAAACCGTCCATTTCACACAGTTCAAACTTTTACAGCTATTGTGGGGACTGATCGCAACTATAATCATTTATGGGGTACGTCAAATTCTTGAAAGCTTCACATGAGTCTTATGCTTATTACCATTGGATGTTGCTACGTACGCTCCCAACTAGTCGCACTAGCGAGGGGAGAGGGATTGGGCGAGGTCACTTCACGGAGTTGAATGCTTTGACAGCATAATGCAAGCACGTTAGGAACTGGAAGGCGCGTAAGTGCAGTTCCGCCCACATCGAAAACGTCTTCAACCACTTCGGTTTTAGTGAAATGGGTTATGGAAAAAAAACACCAAACTGTGCACTGGATGTCCCCTCTAAATAACAACCCCTGATCAAAATGCTGATTTAACAGCGGTCGATTACTGTTCCTGCTTTAACGAGAGAGGGGTGCTTCCGGACGAGTTGTCCGAACTTGCTTGCTCCATTACTTCACTAACCTGCGCGTATTCGAATTAGCCGCTACGTCGAATTAGCGGCGTGTCATGTAGCGTACGTAGACTACCTCGTCCATTATTTCAAACTAGCCGTCACTGTCACGCGCTTTTGAGCCGTGACAACGGCGTAACTGTTATACTCGCTGGCTACTCTATGCAATCCACAAACTAAATTGGTCGACACGACCTCATCTGGAGTTGATGCTTTGAGTCATTGTACGGGCACATTCCCTTTTTCATTCTTGCATTTACGATAATGAATGCAACTAGAGTGCGTGGCGCTCACTAAAAAGACTTATGAAGGCATTCAAGGCTTGATGCGCTGTCCTTCACAGAAAATAATAATTCTAAAATGGATCCTGTCTGAAAATGCCAACATTTTAATGAAGGCTGGTCATATACTTGAAGACTGAGCTGTAGAATCACACTTCAATATTGTAAATGAATTATCAGCAGAAACACTTTTAGATCAAATTACATTTCTCATAACAAAAGTACAAGCTAAGAACACTGCTGTAAAGCGGACAACCTCAAACAATACGAATTTTTACAAATCACTCGCTAACATCTAAATAGTTTGCATTACTAAGGCTAAGCTCTAATGATTCATCTATTTCAGCTCTTGTTGATACCCTACACGAAGTCTTCCCTAACAGATTGGGCAGGCAGCCAAGAACGAGCCCAAAGTACTATTCATTTTCCTTCATCATCCAGTTCTTGAGCACACATGCAACTATCTACAGACCCGACCAACTTCTGTAGAACCCCGAAGGCGGCTATAACCCCTATACACGATCTTATTATTAGTCATGGTTGAAAAAGCGCTTTTTATCAAAATTTAGACAGACCATTAGACCAGTTCATGTGTAGTCCTTTACAATACTACATTATTACGACCCTAGCGGGAGAAGGAGCAAGTAGTAAAAAGCCACCACGTGACGTGACGCCGCTGCGGATTTGCGAAACAGCTTTTTCCATCGAATTGTGATGGTAACGACTCCAAAAATGAAGTTATATTCGTAATGATAACCGCTATGACTCGTATTGGATAAGTTTTAAGGCGATACTGCTGCTCTTCGTGAGATAGCATTGCCGCAGCAATATCGAATCTGCTGATCCAATAACCCCCTCAAAACTGCATAGCATTGCCGAAATTTTGCTGTGCCTAACACCCTAGTTTCAAGCTTTATGCAAGATTCGCTGGTACCTAGTTCGATTCGCTGGCACCTAGTTCGAATCGCTGGTGCATCGTTCGATTCGCTAGCGATTCGCTCGACTCGAGCGATTCGCTAGCGATTCGCTCGATTCGCTAGCGATTCGAGCGATTCGCTAGCGATTCGCTCGACTCGAGCGATTCGCTAGCGATTCGCTCGATTCGCAAAGTATGACGTCGGCCTTAGAGAGACATCAAACTGCCC